TATTCACAGGTAGGCGCCCTTCTTCCTCTTCAGGAAATCGCCTTTCCCTTATTTTGTTATTTTGCTTTTTGAAGCGAATAAGAAAAACAACAAATAAGAAGAGAGGACAGGGAATGACTAGGTAAAGAGAGGAGCTTTTCAATTTCCTCCCTATCTCTTATGTTACTTTTCCTTCTTGGGCGGGTGTCCTTTTTTCTTCCTTGAAGATGCAGAAAACTATCAAAAAGGACACCCGTTCCATCGCCCACAATTCCCTTCCTTATCTCCTATGCTCTTTTCCTTATTCATTGCAACAGGAGAATTCAGGAAAAGGGCCTCCATTCCCCTCTTGTTCTTCCTTTCTTGTGTTTTTGTCATTTAAAGGGGAACAGGAGAAGAGAAGGCAAAGAGAAGGAGAGAGGAGAGATAAAAGGAACACAATGCTAATGGGAAGAGCCAAGAAAAGAATAGAAGAGAGATGAACAAAGAAGATGGAGAGACAAAACAAGGCGCAAAGAAGATGGCACTCTTCTTTATCTATCCTCTCTCCCTTCTCTCTCCCTTCCCTCTTTCTTATCGAAACAGAAAACGAAAAAGGAAGAACTTGAAAAGGAGAAGGGTAAGGACAAGAGCAGAAGAGACAGGCCAAAAAGAGGAATATGATGAACTGAAAAGAAGAGAAGACACAATAAACAAGGAGACGGATAGCACTCTTCTTTATCTATCATCTCTCCCTTCCTTGTCTCTCGCTTTTCCCTCTATAATTGTAAAAAAATAGGTGCCCTCTCTCCTCTTCAGGAAGCCCCCTTGCCCTTATTTTGCTAGCTTTCTGAAACGAGAAGGAAAACAACACATAGAAAGAAAGGAAAAGGAATGAAACAATAGGCAGTGGAGCTCTTCAGTGTCTTTACCTATCTCTTTTCTTCTTTTTCTTTTTCATTCAATAAGGAAAAGAAGCTTCCTTTGGTCCTTTGGTGTGATTTTGAGATTTAAAAGAGAACAAGAGAAGAGAAGGGAGACCCGGGCTCGTAATTTAGTATTGAGGGGCAGGCCCGGGCTCGTGATTTAGCATCGGGGAATTTAAAAAACCAATTTCATTTCAATGTCCAGGGGCCCGATTTGGCCAAATTTTGCCGGGCAAAATTTGGCCAAATCGAGCCGCGCATTTCGCATCGCGTACGACGAGCAGCCCGATTTGGCCAAATTTTGCCCGCAGACTGCCCGGCAAAATTTGGCCAAATCGGGCTGCCCTTCGTATGCGATGAGAAATGCGCGGCTCGATGTGGCCAAATTTTGCCCGGAGGCTGCCCGGCAAAATCTGGCCAAATCCAGCCGCGCCTTTCTGGAGGCCCGAAATTATTTAAACTATCGCGGCTCGATTTGGCCAAATTTTGCCCGGAGGCTGCCCGGCAAAATTTGGCCAAATCGAGCCACGCATTTCTCATCGCATACGAAGGGCAGCCCGATTTGGCCAAATTTTGCCCGGAAGCTGCCCGGCAAAATTTGGCCAAATCGAGCCGCGAAAGTTTAAACAATTTCGGGCCTTCAGAAAGGCGCGGCTCGATTTGGCCAAATTTTGCCCGGAGGCTGCCCGGCAAAATTTGGCCAAATCGAGCCGCGCATTTCTCATCGCGTTCGACGAGCAGCCCGATTTGGCCAAATTTTGCCCGCAGACTGCCCGGCAAAATCTGGCCAAATCGAGCCGCGCCTTTCTGGAGGCCCGAAATCATTTAAACTATCGCGGCTCGATTTGGCCAAATTTTGCCGGGCAGTCTGCGGGCAAAATTTGGCCAATCGAGCCGCGCATTTCTCATGGCATACGAAGAGCAGCCCGATTTGGCCAAATTTTGCCCGCAGGCTGCCCGGCAAAATTTGGCCAAATCGAGCCGCGATAGTTTAAATTATTTAATTCTGGGAGGGGGGGGGGGCCTGGTCCTGCTGCTCCCCCCCCCCTTTTCGGAATTAAATTTTTTTAATTTTTTTAAATTATTCAAATTATTTAAATTATTTAATTCCAGGGGGGAACCGAAAAGGGGGGGGGGGGGCAGGCCCCACCCGGCCCCCTCCCCCTCCCAGAATTAAATAATTTAAATAATTTAAATCCGAAAGGGGTGTTCAGGATTTAAATTAAATTATAATTCTGGGAGGGGGAGGGGGCCCGGTGGGGCCTGGCCCCCCCCTTTTCGGATTTAAATTATTTAAAATGTTTAATCTAAATATTTAATTCCAGGGGGTGAATTAAATAATTTAAATAATTTAAATCTGAAAGGGGGGGTTCGGATTTAAATTATTTAAATTATTTAATTCTCCCCCCCGGAATTAAATAATTTAAATAATTTAAATAATTTAAATAATTTAAATAATTTAAATCCGAAAAGGGGGGGGGGGGGGCCAGGCCCCACCAGGCCCCCTCCCCCTCCCAGAATTAAATAATTTAAATAATTTAAATCCGAAAGGGTGTTCAGGATTTAAATTATTTAAATTATTTAATTCTGGGAGGGGGAGGGGGCCCGGTGGGGCCTGGCCCCCCCCTTTTCGGATTTAAATTATTTAAATTATTTAAATTATTTAAATTATTTAAATTATTTAATTCCGGGGGGGGAATTAAATAATTTAAATAATTTAAATCTGAAAGGGGGGGTTCGGATTTAAATTATTTAAATTATTTAATTCCCCCCCCCCGGAATTAAATAATTTAAATAATTTAAATAATTTAAATAATTTAAATAATTTAAATCCGAAAAGGGGGGTGGGGCCAGGCCCAGGCCCCCTCCCCCTCCCAGAATTAAATAATTTAAATAATTTAAATCCGGAACGCCCCTTTCGGATTTAAATTATTTAAAATATTTAATTCTGGGAGGGGGAGGGGGCCCGGGCCTGGCCCCCCCCCCCTTTTCGGATTTAATTTATTTAAATTATTTAAATTATTTAAATTATTTAATTCCGGGAGGGGAATTAAATAATTTAAATATTTAAATCTGAAAGGGGGGGTTCGGATTTAAATTATTTAATTCCCCCCCCCCCGGAATTAAATAATTTAAATAATTTAAATAATTTAAATAATTTAAATAATTTAAATAATTTAAATAATTTAAATCCGAAAAGGGGGGGGGGGCAGGCCCCACCGGGCCCCCTCCCCCTCCCAGAATTAAATAATTTAAATAATTTAAATCCGAAAGGGGTGTTCAGGATTTAAATTATTTAAATTATTTAATTCTGGGAGGGGGAGGGGGCCCGGTGGGGCCTGGCCCCCCCCTTTTCGGATTTAAATTATTTAAATTATTTAAATTATTTAAATTATTTAAATTATTTAATTCCAGGGGGGGAATTAAATAATTTAAATAATTTAAATCTGAAAGGGGGGGTTCGGATTTAAATTATTTAATTCTCCCCCCCGGAATTAAATAATTTAAATAATTTAAATAATTTAAATAATTTAAATAATTTAAATCCGAAAAGGGGGGGGGGCAGGCCCCACCCGGCCCCTTCCCCCTCCCAGAATTAAATAATTTAAATAATTTAAATCCGAAAGGGGTGTTCAGGATTTAAATTATTTAAATTATTTAATTCTGGGAGGGGGAGGGGGCCCGGTGGGGCCTGGCCCCCCCCCCTTTTCGGATTTAATTTATTTAAATTATTTAAATTATTTAAATTATTTAAATTATTTAATTCCAGGGGGGGAATTAAATAATTTACATAATTTAAATCTGAAAGGGGGGGTTCGGATTTAAATTATTTAGATTATTTAATTCCCCCCCCACAATTAAATAATTTAAATAATCTAAATAATTTAAATAATTTAAATAATTTAAATCCGAAAAGGGGGGGGGGGGCAGGCCCCACCGGGCCCCCTCCCCCTCCCAGAATTAAATAATTTAAATAATTTAAATCCGAAAGGGGTGTTCAGGATTTAAATTATTTGAATTATTTAATTCTGGGAGGGGGAGGGGCCCGGTGGGGCCTGCCTCCCCCCCCTTTTCGGATTTAATTTATTTAAATTATTTAAATTATCTAAATTATGTAAATTATTAAAAATTATTTAATTCCAGGGGTGGAATTAAATAATTTAAATAATTTAAATAATTTAAATAATTTAAATAATTTAAATAGTTTAAATCCGAAAAGGGGGGGGCCAGGCCCCAGCCCCCTCCCCCTCCCAGAATTAAATAGTTTAAATAATTTAAATCCGAAAGGGGTGTTCAGGATTTAAATTATTTAAATTATTTAATTCTGGGAGGGGGAGGGGGCCCGGTGGGGCCTGCCCCCCCCCTTTTCGGATTTAAATTATTTAAATTATTTAAATTATTTAAATAATTTAAATTATTTAAATTATTTAATTCCTTGCCCCAGACCCCCCAGAAACGATAATGGGGTCTATTTGGAAGTTGTCTCTTGTAAATAAGTATACGTTTTGGGGCCTTATTTCCTCTTTAAAACACGAGTCTCAGCTTCCAAATAGACCCTATTTAAGCTGCACACCCCCCCCCCCCCCCCCCGCCCCCCCCCCCCAATAAACATTTAAACTACCACCAGTATACCACCAGAATCCGAGGAGCAGTCGGATGTAGCCTTTCTCACCCCAGCCCGGGCCCCATGAGTTCCTGGAGTTGAGTGCCGAGCTGGAGCAAAGATCTTCATGGGGGGGGGGGGGGGGGGGGGGGGGTGGGGGGGATGTTCAGGGTTTAGGGTTTAGGGGCTTAGGGGCTTAGGGGCTTAGGGGCTTAGGGGCTTAGGGGCTTAGGGGTTTAGGGGTTTAGGGGTTTAGGGGTTTAGGGGTTTAGGGGTTTAGGGGTTTAGGGTTTAGGGTTGGGGTTTAGGGTGTCTTCAAGAGTACACTGGCTAAACTTTCAGGTTTAGCAAGTCGACTCTCACACCAGCGGCAGCAGGAGCGAGGCAAACGATTCAAGCACTCACAGCAACCTCCAGATGGAGGTTGCCGAAAAACAGGGGTACCCTTCTTGGCGATTCAATCCGTATAGGAAGGCTTTTAGTATTGTGGGGTACGCGACTTTGGGCAACACTCATATCCTACCAGAGACCCAGCTTTTTTTCAACCCAGAGTTTTGAGTTTTGGATGTTGGGGGGGCTTTCTGGCAATGAAAGATCATTAGCCACCAGCGCGTCCTCACCAGCCAGTAGTCCTTGGCATATCCGACCGCCTGCACGCCGTGGTCCAGGGTGTTGGAAGACCCTCGCGGCCAAGGGGGGAGTCGTGCCTTTTGGTACTTCCTGAAACCTCCAATTGGCAGCATCTAGTCGAGAAGCCTGGCAACCCTGGGCGGGGGGGCTCCCAACAATTCGGGTCATACACACCCCTGTTGATAGAACTTGGACCATATAAGTCTCCTAAAAGAAGTAACCTCGAAGTGTCTGGTGCTTGGATGGCGGGGGAATGCGGGGGATTCGTGGCATGTGATTTGGGGGGGGGGGGGGGGGGGGGGGGGGGGGCTGGGGTTGGAACTTTTTCTGGTTTTGGGGCAGGTTGAGACCTGTGGTTGATAAGGTTCAAGCAGGGTTTCTCATGTCTGCAGACTTGCCGCTCAGCACCAGCGGAACCCACGGCTAGCAAATGGCTTGACGAAACTACGATTCGACTGGGGATGTCCCCCCTTATACTAACATGCCTTAATAGGGATGATAGTACCTCATATGACAATCCCTGTTAGTGTTGTCATATGAGGTCCTGTTAGTATAAGGGGGAACATCCAAAGACTCGACCCTTGTCATTCTCATGCACGCCTGCGCAGGCCCGGCCACGCAAAATAGCCGGCAGAATCTGCACAAAAGTGCTGCTTCCACATCTTCGCTGGGTTGCAATTTGCACCCTCTTCCGGTTTACCCTAAACGAACTTATAAGCCCTAAACCCCCACATCCTGAAACACCTCAAGTTAAGCCCCGAAACCGCAACAACCAGCAAAACCCAAACTGCAAAAATCCTAAAACACCTCAAGGCCTAAACTTCCTAAACTGAAACTTAGCTTTGGAGTACACCCTGGAAAAAAAAATATACTTATTAGGTACAAGTAGCCATAATAGGAGCCAGGAAAAGTATTATAGTAATAGTACTCCAAGACCCAGCAAAACCCTAGGCGATCCCAAACTCTAGGCCCTAAACCACAAGCGACCCCTTGAGCTCATTCGGTGGCCCTCCGGCTCCTCGCGCCTTGGCTGCAGCCCTGGAAAACCCTAAACCCTAAACCCTAAACCCTAAACCCTGAACCCTAAACCCTAAACCCTAAACCCTAAACCCTAAACCTCGCGCCTTGGCTGCAGCCCTGGAAGATGCCGCCACCATACCTTTGCATTTCGACTCTCACAACTGGCACAAGCGCAGGCACGGTTCCAGGTTTAGGGTTTAGGGTTTAGGGTTTAGGGTTTATAAGGCTTGGGCTTTACGGTTAAAAAAGCGTTTAGGCGTTCAGGGTTAAAGAGTTTACGGGTTACGTAGTGGTTTAGGGTTGAAGAGTTGAGGTGTTCAGGGTTTACGCTCAACACGCAGAAAGTATGAAGATGAGGGGTGAACAGTTTAGGGTCAGGGTTTGGGGGGATTAGGGTAACCTGGGGGGAGTTCTTGGAGGTTCATGCCGCAATGATAGGACATACTCATGGAAACTATAGCCGTAAGCTTAAACCACCCTGAATGCTAAGCCACAACCACCCCCCAAACCCTAAACCCCAAACCCTAAACCGCCCTAAACCCTAAACCCTAAACCCTATACCCTAAACCCGCATCGCCGAGATGCAGCTGCCAGGAGTCGGCAGCAACCGTCACGGACATGGGGCCCTTCGTGGCCAGAGCGGTCTCCTTTCATAGGGTTTAGGGTTTAGGGTTTAGGGTTTAGGGTTCGGAGTTGAGGGTTTAGGGTTTAGGGCAAAAGGTCCAGGTGCTCTTATGGGGAAATCATGCTTGGGACCTCTTTGGTGGTTTTGTGTACCTAGAACTTGGGTACATGTCTCTCATAGGGGAAATAATGCTAGGGCCTCTTTGGTGGTTTCGTGCACCTAGCTAGAATTTGGGGCACATGGATCTTGTGGAGTGTCGGAAGAGGCTGGAATGGTAAACTTCTCATAATTTGCCGTTTCGAGAGGATGTCAGTCCTTAACAGGGATTCTACTCGGGGGTACTATAACCCCTATTTAAGGACTGTTTCAGTATAAGGGGGAACATTCCCAACAAAAAACCTCACAAACCCTAGCAGCCCTGCACCTTCAAAGTCTTCCAAGCGCCAAGGAGAGCAACACTTTCCTGGAGCTACCCCCCCCCCCCCCCCCCCCCCTAAACCCTAAACCCTAAACCCTAAACCCTAATACATTCAGGGTTTCTAGTTTAGGGTTTAGGGGTTTTCAGTGGAGGCAGATGTTTTGGGCCGTTTTAGGTCTCTAGGTTTGGGATGCTCCCAGGGACACTAACAGTCCTTAATGGAGATTCTTGTACCCCCTATATTAATCCATACTGAGGAGTGTTAGTACACGGGGGAACATCCCAACCCTAAACCCTAAACCCTAAACCCTGAACCCCTAAACCCCAAACCTTCTATGAGGGTTGATGTTCATGGCTCCAGCGCAGACGCGTCGTTGATCGGAAGCCTGACGTAGCTCTTGGCCTGGACACGTGAAAAGAAACGGAGAAAACTACAAATACAAAAAAACAAAGAAACAAATGAATGGATGTCTATATATGTATAAAAAATGTATAAACAGAACATGCACATATGTACATATTATATATATATATATATATATATAGTGTGTGGGCGTGTGTGTATATGTGCACATCTGGATAAGCACGAGCGCGAAGGAAGGTGGAAAGAGAGGGAGACGGAAAGGGATAGGGAAAGAGAAAGAGAGAGAGAGAGAGGCAGACAAACAAACGGACAAGGGGCAGACAGAGGGAGAGTCAGAGAAAAGAAAGAAACCAAGAAAGAAAGAACGAACGAAAGAGAAAGAAAGAAAGACAGAAAGAAAGAAAGCAAGAAAGAGAAACAAAAAAAGACAGAGAGGGAGAGAGAGTGACAAAACAAAGGAACAACTCCATCACCCGCAGGAAACCCACAAGAGCGCTCACGGGATGCCTAGCCAGAAACTCATCCTCAACCCTAAACCCTAAACCCTAAACCCTAAACCCTAAACCCTAAACCCTAAACCCTAAACCCTAAACCCTAAACCCTAACCCTAAACCCATCCTCCAGTCGCATGAGTACCAAAGCTTGAACACACCCCGGAGCATCCGAAAGCCACAAACACCAGTTCCAATTCAACACCTACTTCCAATTCAACACCTAGCACACAGATAATTTTAGCCCGCATTTCAGCCCCTACACATATATATATATATATAATATAATATATATATATATATATTATATATATATATATATATATTTCTATATATACATATATGTATATACATAAATATTAAATTATATTATATTATATTATATTATATTATGTTATATTATGTTATATTATGTTATATTATGTTATATTATGTTATATTATGTTATATTAAATATTTCTTTATATATGCATACGCAGCACCACCATGAAGCAGCAAACCCACGCCCGTCTCTCTCTCTCTTCTTCTTCTTCTTCTTCTTCTTCTTCTTCTTCTTCTTCTTCTTCTCCTCGCTTAAGAGGACCCCGGGTTCGGGGGCCCCCGGCCGCGACGGCCAAGCTCTCCCTCTCTCTCCCTCTCTCTCCCTCTCTCTCCCTCCCTCTCTCTCTCTCTACCTTGAGATGCTTTACAGCCAAGCTCGAACCGCGGCCTTGACGGCAGCCTTGTAGCCTCGGTAGCCCAGTAACCATACAATCAGAAGGGTTAGGGTTTAGGGTTTAGGGTTTGGGGTTTGGGGTTTGGGGTTTGGGATTTGGGGTTTGGGGTTTGGGGTTTGGGGTTTAGGGTTTAGGGTTTGGGGTTTGGGGTTTGGGGTTTGGGGTTTGGGGTTTGGGGTTTGGGGTTTGGGGTTTGGGGTGTTTCGGGTTGAGGGCTAATTTTTGGCCGCCCGCCAAGCAGAACAAGCCACACCGCAGGGCAACACTTCGGGGTGCTTGACCCCTCTTGAAACACAGGCCAGGGGGATGAAGCTTCAGGGTTTAGGGTGGGGTTTAGGGTTTAGGGTTTAGGGTTTAGGGTTTAGGGTTTAGGGTTTAGGGTTTAGGGTTTAGGGTTTAGGGTGTAGGGCTCTTTTAGAAGGGAACCTTCAACCAAAAACAGGCAAAACGGTATCACTAGGCTACCAAGTAGCTCGGGCAGGACTCATCGCGGCCGAGGTATGGCACTGCACTCTCAAGAGCAATGCCCTCGCCAGGAAGGGCTTTAGCTTTAACCATCTTTACGTGCAGGATTGGGGGTTTAACAGATTTTTTTGCTTTGCCAGTTTCGCGGGTTTTGGGCAGTGTTGGTTTCAAGGCCTCAGGGCCACAGCTTCAGCTCCTGCTAAGCCTGCGAAGTTCTCACACTCGCTGCCCCATGGGATTAAGAAGGACCCTGGGCTTTCGGACCAGCTCGGCAGGGGTTTAGGGTTTAGGGTTTAGGGTTTAGGGTTAGGGGTGTCTTATATACGTGTCACAAAACTCCTACATCTTGGAGCCTGAGCCATGATGATGCCGTAATGGTCAGTTCTCAAAAATCAGGTTCCTTTTTGGGTACCCTACATAAGAGGGGCCCGCCTTAGAATAAGGACCCAAAGAAAGACGAGCATAAAATAGGGAAGTCAGCCTTGGAGATGGTCAAGTTGAAGGCGAGCTCCATAGTCGCACCCTCGCAGCCTCCAGTTCCTGCATCAAACCCTAAACCCTAAACCCTAAACCCATGAAAGCATGGGATGTTCCCCTTATACTGACAGTCCTCAACGGGAGCTAGAGTAGGGGCCCCATGAGGCACTGCTAGGATAAGGGCGAACATCCCACATGAAAGCTATAAAGACGCTTCATTCTGCCAGCTTCACCTCAAACTACAAGCAGCTAGAAGCGCTCAAATGGAAGGAAGTGTTGATGCGCCTTCCCTTCACGTCTTGAACACAGGCTCCTGTCAACCAGGCCTTTCACTCCCAACCCTGGATTAGCGAGCCCGCCAAGCTTTTAGATCTAAAGGACCTGTAGCCCCTGGGAGGAAAGACCAGACCTTCCAAAAACATGAAACCAGCAAGCACCTCCGCATTCATGAGGGTTCTGCACGCAGTCCACATAGGTCTGCGGCGACAGTGTCAGCAGCTTGCCGGATGCGATCGCCTCGGCAGACTGAAGTTCTTCATACTTCGAGGCGAGCTGACCGTGGGGAGCCTTTAAAAACCAGCCCCAGACCCTAAACTGGGCTGGCCTTTCAAAAGCTCTCAGGATTCCCAGACGTGCTATGCCTAGCTGCGTGACATTTCTGTTAGATGTGGTCCCGATCTGTGTGTGAATACTTAACTAGAGGCCAGCGCCACAATGCATAGTTTGGCAATCATATGGCCTGCAAGGCGTTTAAAAAAGGCCTAGCATACTTATGAGGCTTCGAAGGCTCGCGGGTTTGTTTTACAGGATTTCGCCCTAAACCCCAAACTCCAATGTCCCCCTGCACCCTTCAACTGACGGACCGCCTAATTCTCACCGGGTGGCATAGTGGGACTCCACCGTCTCAGTGGCCGAGAATGCCCAGCAAGAGCCACAACCCCCTGACTTGCAGGGTTTGGGGATGTCCCCAAGCTTAGGGTTTCAAGTTGCAGCTGGGAGGTTTAGGGTTTAGGGTTTAGGGTTTAGGGTTTAGGGTTTAGGGTTTGGGGTTTGGGGTTTAGGGTTTAGGGTTTAGGGTTTAGGTGCTTATTTGGTGCGATTGTGGATTCCAAACCTCCGTGCACATGTTCGTCTCAGCGGTCTGCGCGGCACAAGGGGTGCTGCAGAATCACACTGCGCCTACTTAGGAGGGCGGCCTGCAAACAAACGCGTTTGGTTTAGGGTTTAGGGTTTAGGGTTTAGGGTTTAGGGTTTAGGGTTTAGGGTTTAGGGTTTAGGGTTTAGGGTTTAGGGTTTAGGGTTTAGGGTTTAGGGTTTAGGGTGTAGGGTTTAGGGTTTAGGGTTTAGGGTTTAGGGTTTAGGGTTTAGGGTTTAGGGTTTAGGGTTTAGGGTTTAGGTTGCAAGGCTCCTACCCTACTCTTTGATGATGTTCTACAAGTTAGTTAGAGGTCTTGGGGGGCATCAGAAAGTTATCTTAATTGTATAATTATTTTTTCAAGGCATCTGTGCATCTTCACGCCGAAGCCATCTTGAAACAACCAGTGACCCTACATACTCGGGGAACTGCACATGGAATTATCAGAATCTTCCCCGGTTCTGGTACAAGTGTAGATGGGTTCCTCAGAGAGGTACCCTAAAAAACAACCGCCTTCTAAGACAAAAAACCCAAAAGAAGACCCTAACTTAGGGGGCTGCCCCAAAAAGAGGCGAACATCCCTAATCGGCACCCCAGGACAGTAAGTGTATATATGGGCTCCTCAGAGGTAAACTCTAAACCCTAAACTCTAAACCCTGATGGCCTTGATCCTTCACCGGCGTGACGACGCCCTTGCTGCGCCAGTCCATGGCTGTCGGGTTGGGCTTGCGGTCCTCAAGGGGGGCTGGGATGTTGGGCTGTTACCGGTGCCCCTTGGCCTTGCTAGGCTTGAGGGTTCTATGTATAGGGTTCAGGGTTTAGGAGATACAAATAGACATGTATGTGGACAAGGTATACATACATATATACATACATACATACATACATACATATATATATATATGTACCTTAGTATTATGTTTTGATGTCAGATGATGTCATATGAAGACGTGCGGGACCCTTGGACGTGGATCAGGCTCGCACGCGTGTCTGGACATTCTAGGAGTTCTTTTCTACTATTTGCATAAGAACCTGCCCCCCCCCCAAAAAAAAAAAAAAAAACATAAAAAAGATAAAATCCCTACATCACGTTATACCCTTGTAAGGAAGAAGATGTTCACTTTTTCGGGGAGTTCTTAAGCAACTAGTGGACAAGAGCCTCGGCATCGAGCTGGAGCATCGGCCGGCCATCAGCAGGGCCGAGCTTGGTGGCGCGCCTGCGAAAGCGAGGGTTTAGGGTTTAGGGTTTAGGGTTTAGTCTTCCCGGACCTCGAAACAGCCCTGGGACCATACGCGAACGACTACAACCAGGTCAACAACGCCACTGGTCTCAATAATTATAGATAAATCGCCAAGAAAACATCACCACCACCATCATCAGGAACACACCAACTCCGGCCATTCTCAACGAGATGAGCAATTTATCACTCTCGTACTTGGACAAGGCCTTCACTGGTACAGAAGCGACCGTTTGACCACCATGGCATTTTCCAAAATAGGGGTGCCCTAGACATGCCCCCAAAATCAATCTCAAAACCCTTATTGCAGGTATATCCCCGACCCCACCCGCCCACTTGCACTTCAAAAGTTCCCTCAGAAGCCCTAGATCACAAAGACCACCAAGCGACTTGCTGCCGAACTCCTCCTCTGACAGGTCCGCGAGCTCGTTCATGGCCATGAACCAAGTGTGCCGCCCCTGCCTGTCACGAAGCTCGCTGATCTTAGGTCTCCTGCTACACAGTTACATAGAGTCATTTCGGGTCCTTTGAAGCTTATACCAGTTTTGGGAACCCCTCTTCGCCTCGCATGCATGGAACCAATTCGTTGCGGATTTTCACGAGTTGTAGGATTTGAGGATTGGCAGTCGAGCGAGCCTACGACTTGGCGGTGCTGGGCTTGAAACTATGCTTCTGCACAATGTTCTGCCTGGTGTGATGTGCAGGGCTCGGCCACACAAACCCATTCGCAACAATGCTTGTTTGAATGGCCACGGGCTTGTCACGGCAAGGCAGCATATGGCAGTGTAGTTCGTTGGTTTGCCCGAAACCCTGAACTCTCAACCCGAAGTCCGGGAGGCATGGGTCCCGCCTGTACTCGGCGTTGTGCGCTTGGACCTTTCGCAGGTTCGCCTCAGCTTCCGCATGGAGAGGAAGGGTGTAGGGTTTAGGGTTAGTGGTTTAGGGTTTAGGGTTTAGGGTTTAGGGTTTAGGGTTTAGGGTTTAGGGTTTAGGGTTTAGGGTTTAGGGTTTAGGGTTTAGGGTTTAGGGTTTAGGGGGTTCAGTGAAGCACTGAAAGTGGAGTCGGAGGTTGACGTGAATGTGCAAGCTGAGACCGCGCGCTGCTAGCTCTCGACATCTACAAAGCTCCGATAGCACCTTCCCTACTTCGCTATATATACCACATCCTTGAGGATACTGCCGCCCAAATGGTGATAATAAACCTGGGTATTTTAGTCCAAACCAGGACCATGAAGCCCAAACCCTAAACCCTAAACCCTGAAGGGTAGACATGGTACATAGCATTCGCAGCGTGTTGCTGCGAGCACCGGTTTCAGTTCAATAAAACAACTCATACCTAGGAGGGATTGAGGGGGTATCTCCTGAGTCAAGCCCAAAACATAGCATAGTCATGTAACAATAAAATTAGAATATATATATATATATATATTAAATCTAATCCATTGTATTATAATACTACAATAGTCGAATCACATAGTAACCCCAAACAAGCCTGAACCCGCCTCAAAGATGGCCTTCCTGCTTTCCAGCTCACCCGCGGAGTAGGACTTGGAAAACTCCTGCTGGTAGTCCTTCGGCAGGTGCTGAGCTGCAGTTCTGGACGGAAGTCCATGCCGGGCCCCCTGTATTCTGGACAGCTTGTCCGGATTTTTTGGAAGGTCCCTAAACCCTAAACCCTAAACCCTAAACCCTAAACCCTAAATCCTAAATCCTAAACCTTTGCGTCCTCGAAGCTATAGCCCTGGTACTCGCGCAAGTTCTCTTCTCCCGCACAGCGGCATCCCACCTGCCGGTCGTTGTTCATTTTGAACATGAGCAAACACGTACAAAGAAGTGCGCATGTTAAGATAAACGCGTTGAGAAAGAGTGGGCAGGGGGTAGGGGGGTAGGGGGGAGGGTAGGGGATTGGGGGGAGGGTGTAGGGGGTAGAGGGTAGGAAGGGTTGGGGAAGGGTGTAGGGGGTAGAGGGTGGGAAGGGCCTGTATAGCAACTAGTTTAAAAAAAACATGGTCCCACCTTTCAACGACCAATGAGAACTCAGTGAACCTTGAAGCAGGTCTGCTTAGAATCGCCACTTCCAAGGCTGGGTAAGATTAGGCACAAGCTGTAGCCTTTCAGCAGTGCCTCGCTCCAACTCAATTTACAGGGCTGCAAGAAGACGATGTCCACACTCCCTATCATGGGTTCCCCTACTACCCCTCTCTATACTACCCCCGCTAGGTTCCCCCCTTAAACAACCTTCATTAAGCCTAACTATCCCTAAATAGCCTTCATTACGGGGGGAACCCACGGGGGGTAGAAACGAGGGGGGTAGTAGGGGAACCCATGACTCTAGAAAGGAACAGAAGGAATGCAGCGGCACAATTCCCAAAAAAAGAGGCCCCGTGTGCGCGCGGAGACGCAAACCATGAACGTAGATTGCGCATCATCCGCTTACTCCTGCTCTTTCATGTGGTGCCTGTTCCTGTGGTCCGACTTCTTTCACAAAGCCATGACGAATTGATCGGATGGATGGTTCCGGCCCTGAGCACATGTCCTAAACCCCCTAAACCCTAAACACTAGCCCTAAACCCTAGCCCTAAACCCTAAACCCTGAACCCTTAACAGGAGCGACCTTGGGGATGCAAGCTTCGGAACTTGAGCAGCACTCGAAGGACGTGGAAGAGGTCCTTGGTGGAAGAAGGATGGAATTTAGGGTTTAGGGTTTAGGGTTTAGGGTTTAGCTGGTCTGTCTTGGGGACCTCACTTTAAGGGTGCTGTACTACGTAGGGGACCCCAAAATGGACCCACATTCAGAGAAATACCCTTATGGGGTTTAGGGTTCGTTAGGTTTCACGACATAGTCTATCTGAGTATAGCTGCTTTGAAGGTTCGTTCGGATTCATTATAGGTTGTTAAACTATTAGGGTTATATGTACCCTTGTTTCAGGCTCTGATATGATCGGCCTGAGTAGAACTGCCCGCGTGGGGGCTTTGCAAATCGAGGCTGCGGTGAACGAGAAGCCTTGAATCCAGCCCATACCTCGGCAAGACCTCCTCCCTAACTCGAACCTTATACTCGGACATCCTCAGCCCCCCGACAGCCTAGATACTACACCCTACCTACACCACCTATAAGGCTCCAAGCCCTATAGAGTGGGAGTACGGCCCTGGACCGAAAAGCTCCCTTCCAATAAAAGGCTCCTGACTTGACTTCAAAGGCGGAGGCAAGGCTCTGGCAACAGGGGAGGCCGGCCTCACTGCCAGCATCGGCCCCGCACGTCTTGCTGCTGGGGCAGGTGCCTCCAGAGCGTCTTCGGGGAATACGAACAAAAGTTAGGGACTTATGACCTAATTATAAGGCAGGATCCTTATAACCCAAGTTAGGGTACTTCCAACTCTACCTGTAAGCAGGGGAGGGGGGGGGGGCTCTTCGTAGGGCGGAGTCTGCTTAAGGTTCGAGCGAAAGGAAGGCCTGATCTCCGTGCCTCAAAAAAAAACACTCTTGCAGGTTTCTCCCTTGGGATGTTCCCCCTTATACTACCAGTTCCTTAATAGGGATTATAGTACCCCCGACTCTATAATCCCTAGTAAGGACTGTTCGTAAAAGGGGGAACATCCCAATACAGACCCCCACAAGCCCTGAATCTGAGAAAAGGTGCTGCAGAAAAGAAACGTCTTGAGTGTCACTCTTGTCGGGCAGAGTCATCCTAATCCTGAGCTATATGTCAGCCAGCTGGCCGTTGTGGGCTGCTGCCCCCGTAGCCAAGAGGAGCAATGTGGTCCGAAGAGCCATGCTGACCCAAAGGTGCTTCTGAGAACTTCTGCGACCCTAGACCAAGGGGAATTGAGTTTGAGCACTGACGGCGGCAGTGAAGGACTTGGCCAGAATAGAATGAAACCTGCAATATGACGTGGCACAGGGTCAAGAACATGATGGCAACCCCAGTTGAATCCGGCAAAGCTGTCAAGTGAAAGCCTTCACCCAAGTTGTTAGACTCCAGGCCACCGGCTCATGCAGAGTATGCTCAGGCACTGGGCAGCAATCTCAAGCAGCGCAGTTGAAGAACGAAGTGGGGACCCATCTTCGGGGCGTGAAGACAACCCCGACAATGAAAACAAGAACGCGCCTCGTCCACCGGCTGGTACCCACACCTCAACTCAAGTTGGCGGACCATGCACAAGGATGGCCCTTGAAACCCTCTGAAAAATATTCGTAGAATACGACCCTCTGAAACCCAATAAGGGAAATACATAGTGTCCCAAGGGCCTATCGAGTGCAAGGAAGGCTACTGTACGAACTGTTACTAGCTATAGTCGAGAGACTTAGAACCAAAGTTGATTTGTTCTTCTATCCCATTTTGGGACCCCTTAACTTTGCCTTGGGATGGTAAGAACAACCCCCCCCCCCCCCCCCGGGTCGCTTCAGGCAAGAAGCAGCCCACACTGCTTCTCTCCAGGCTGCTCCTGAAGGGTTACAGGTGTTCGGGGGCATGGGTAGGCTTGCTATAGGGGCCTTAATCATTGGAATAGGGTGTTGGGGGTTTGTAGATCATAACTCCGTAGGGACCATAAGTGAGTAATTTGAGTAACTATTCCGTCTCCTATATTACCTGGCTAAACCCTATTAACCCTAAACCCGAAAGCCCCCTTTTTTTAACCTGGCTTCCTGATGACCCGACCAGCTCTCTTCGTGGAAGTGTATTTGTGGGCCATGTCGCAGGTCCAAGCGCTACCCCCCCAAACAAAAAAAAACATGTAGTAATGACACTAACAAAAACAACAAGAAGAATAATACTAATAAAAAGAAGAAAACTGGTTATATATAACCGTAATAATCGTAACAATAAATAACAATAACAATAACAATAACAATAATAATAATAATGATAACAAGAAGAACAAATAAATGATAGTAATAGCTATTGTTATTATTGTTACAATACTAAATAAATACTGGTAATAATCATACTCATAAGCATAAGATTACTAACACAAGAAGCACAAGAATATGCTTAAAACAGATAAACCTTGCAGAAGAAATCCATGACCAGCCCCGGCAGATCCAGCTGCCTGCGGCAAGCCGGTGCCGCCCGGCGAGGGAAACTGGTCACCTTGGGCTTTAGGGTTTAGGGTTTAGGATATAGGGTTTAGGATATAGGGTTTGGGGTTTAGGCTTGATCGAGGGTTTAGGATATAGGGTTTAGGGCGGAAACTTTTTTGGGCGGGGCGTGAGATACAGGCAGAGGCCCCCTAAGCCCTAAACCAGCAAATTTCCGAACCATATACTACAGTAATCACTAAAGTAACAGGAAACTTCGACCCAAAGTCATAGTACTGTAAGATCAACAACTTTACGGGGCCCTCGTCATACCTCGACTTACGACTAGGACCCATGTCACGCAGGGTTTCTAGGGCCTGGCTTTTCAAGGCCAAGTGCGAAGTTGGCCCTTCCACCTGTTCAAGATCTTAAACCCAATCAAGTGGGTTTAGGGATTAGGGTTGAGGGGTTGAGGGGTTCGGGGGTTATAAATTGAGGATATGCCTTGCTCGTTGACGGAGGATGCTGGAATATTCGGGGGTGCTGGTGTGGGCTTTTATAGTTCAGGCTTTGGGCGTTCAGCCTTCCATGACAGAAGAGAGGGAATCATAGAGGAGAAAGAGAAGGAATTTCCGCCCCAGAATGGCCCTGACGGCCGACACCCTAAACCCTAAACCCCAAACCCTAAACCCTAAACCCTAAACCCTGAGCCCTAAACCCGAAACCCTAAAGGTTGCAAAGCAGGCTCTGTTGCAAGCGCACCTTTCTTCGCGGCTCGCTCCTTGCAATCCATATCATGGCGAACGATCCTCAAAGTCAGGAGCTTGCTGGAGGGAGTCGTCATCTGTTGCTAAACAAGCCTAGGGTTAGCAAGGTGGCTTGTGGGTTAGGGTTTAGGGTTTAGGGTTTAGGGTTTAGGGTTTAGGGTTTAGGGTTTAGGGTTTAGGGTTTAGGGTTTAGGGTTTAGGGTTTAGGGTTTAGGGTTTAGGGTTTAGGACAAACTCCAATTGAGGGGGGGGGCCGTTAGGACTCGAAATTTTGTGCGACTTGAACTGGGGCCCTCGCCTGTCAGGGTACCGACTGATCTGCACAGGACAAGCCATTTCCACCCCTTTGCCTTTGGCATCTGGGTCCAGCCATACGGTTGATACTATAAATCCTGCAGGACTCTACCATACTAAACTACCATAATTCCTAGGGGTTAGGGTACTTAGGGTCATGCAGGATTTATATTATCAACCGTAGTTCGATTTTACTCATGAGGGTTTAGGGTGTAGGGTTAGGATTCATCTTTCGCTTTCTTAAGCAATGCTGAAGAAGTTGAGGTGCTTCGGCTTTATGCGGGGACTCTGATTGAAGTTCTTAAGTCCAGGGTGTCTAGTGATTCAGGAATCGGTTAGGGTGTAGGTTTTAGGGCTTCGGGCTCTGTGAACCCTGAAACCAGTAACCCAGCTTACGGCTGTAGAAATGGCAGGCTCGAGTGAAACATGCCAGGCACGAGCCGCAAGGCAAATGCTTGACCACAATGTAGGGCTTATATGGGGCTTTACGTGTTTAAAGTAAACCTTAAACCCTAAACCCTAAACCCTGAACCCTGAACCCTAAACCCCCCAGAATTCTGAAAGCCATGCGACCGGGCCGTGGCACATGAATTCGGCAACGCCTTTCCCCACCACCGTGTCGCTTCGAGCGCATGCTAACGGTCTAGACCCGGGAATAACCTAGGAATGAAAAGGGCACCCTTTTTGGCTTTAAGGGGATTATAAGGGAACCCCAAACCTAAAAAAAGAGAAAAGTGCCTACTCCCGGTCCTGGCGGTTGTTCGGGAGTTTAGGATGGAATTGCAGGAAGTGCGGATGCATATTGGGCCCGTGTTCCGACATAAACGTTCCACGCTCCAACGCACCTTGTGCAGCGGTGTAGTCCCTAAACCGCCCCGGTTTAGGGTTTAGGGTCCAGGGTTTAGGTGTCCTCTGCAAAGACCAACAATGGGAAGCCTGACCCCGTCTACCAGAAAAAACAGGAAATGAACATTCTCTGAATACCACCTCTCCTGTTTACTAAGAGTAATTAAAGCGATACTCCGCCCCCGAACCGTAGCGCAAACAATAGGTTAACAACTGGGCATTATAGATTTTTACAAGTAGTACAAACAAAAATACAGCAACGTCATTCTCTCAAGGAGACGATCGCCAGGGGGAACGGCACCATCGATACATGGTCTCCAAGCCTCCCTCAGGACGTGGGACCTCGAGACGCCCCCGCCACAGCAGACAAAGGCTCAGGGCTGAGAGGAGCATAGGGGGGGGGGAAGAGGCGGCTTAAGGCTTTAAGTTTGCAGCTCTACAGTTTTAAGGGATTTCTAGGGCTGAATTTTAGTTCAGGGTTTAAGGGGGCTTTGTGGCTTTGATCTGTCTGGTAACATCGAAGCATGGCCGACCTCCTTTCATCAGCGACTTGTGCGGGGTTTCCATCATTAGGGTCCAGTACCCTTGTGCAGTACCTTTATGGGGGGGCTGAGGGTCCCTATCAGGAGAATGCATCCTAAATTTTGAGGGGGGGGGGGGGGGGCACCTACTTATTCTTCAAAGTACCGACGGTCCCACAACTCTACGGATCAAGGGACTCAAGGGGGGGGGACCTTAGGGGCTCTGTGGGGGTTATTTCGGGGCTGCTTTGGTGTATAGGGACTATGTAAGGTATAGGGGTGATATAGGAAAATAAGATTGAGGGTCCCTTCGAGGGTCCCTCCATATACCCCCTAAACCGAGGCCAGCACTCGCAGTTGGGCTGCTGTAGCCTTGCCGGCCTACAGGAGTAGCGTGCCAGGGACGCCACAGTATTGCAAACCCTGTTGCAGGGTTTAGGGTTTGGGGTTTAGGATGTAGGAACACCACAGTATCTGTTGCAGGTATAACGTTAACCCAATCTTCACACCTTTGCACATGCGACCAAACCTCTGAACCTAAACCTTAAACCCTACAAACCCAAACCCCAACCCCCCCCTCCCCCTCCGTGGCCCACACCCTAAACCCTAAACCCTAAACCCTAAACCCGAAACCCTAAACCCTAAACCCTAAACCCTAAACCCTAAACCCCACCCCCTCCGTGGCCTGGCTTGCGAAGAAGCTCTTGTGCGCGAGCGTGGAGCCGGGCAACCTGAGAGTTTCGGGTTTAGGGATTAGGGTTTAGGATTTAGGGTTTCGGGCTTAGGGCGGGCGCTGCACGCCCCACAACCCCACAACAAGGCGAAAATGAATACAGGAAAAAAGGAAACAACATGAGCAAAAGTAATGAAATCGCAAAGTTTGTATATATGTTATACATATATATAGAAAATATATACATGTGCGTGCATTTGACTTTTGAGTCATGAGCTGAAGGATTCTTGTCACCCACAAAACTTTGGACTGACGCCACACGGTTGATGCGGTCTTCAAGTCGCCTGGGGCTGTGAAGCCGCGGCAAAGTTGCAACTCCCCGAAAAAACTGTCTGCACTCGCCCTACCTATACAGACCTAGGCATTTCCCAAGATAGGGCACCCCTTTTATACCTCCCCTTAAAGGGACCCCCACAAAGGGTAGCCCTATTTTCGGAAACCCCGGCTGCAGCCCTAAACCCTAAAGGCTAAACCCTCCTCTTAAGGACCCACCCCCCCCCTAAACCCTAAACCCTAAACCCTTAACCCTAAACCCCCCCCCCTCCCCCCTGCAAGGGCCACCTCCTCCTTTTCGAGGTCGAACTTCACGCACTTGGCGATGACCGCCTCGAGGTCACCTGCACAGTTCGGGGTTTTGGGGTTCGGGGTTTGGGGCATTTAGGGTTTAGGGTTTATAGGGTTTATAGGGTTTATAGGGTTTATAGGGTTTAAAGGGTTTATAGGGTTTAAAGGGTTTATAGGGTTTATGGGGTTTAGGGTTTAGGGTTTGCTGTACAGGGTTTAATCGCTCACGCTCGGACAAGCCAGGCGGGGCACGCACTGTCTGAGAGTCTCTCCGCGAAGCCCGATTGGGCCCCTGTGAGGGGTTTAGGGCTTAGAAGGGTTTAGGGTGTAGGGCTTTAAGTTTGGAGGGGTTCCGACCCTCTACTCTCTACCAAGCACACGAGATGCAGCGCCACTTTTGAACGCTTATAGCTTGTCACCGACCCAGCTGATCTTCAACTCATCACCCAACCCTTTAGGTATTTAGAGCTTAGGGCTTGAGGGGTTTGGGCTCGATGCTCACCCTTGCACAAAGGCGGGCCATGTAGTGCTTTCTGGATTTAGGCGTGAGCTCCCGTCTCCATTACACGCACGCTAGCACCGTGTGTGAGGCCCGGACCCTTCAGCGAGACGCCCGTGCTGCGCAGCTTTTCGAGCTGCTGCTTCAGGTACTCAGCGCGCATCAAGGCCTGAGAGGGTCAGGGTTTAGGGTTAGGGTTGGGGTTTAGGGTTTAGGGTTTAGGGTTTAGGGTTTAGGGTTTAGGGTTTAGGGTTTAGGGTTTAGGGTTTAGGGTTTAGGGTTTAGGGTTTAGGGTTTAGGGTTTAGGGTTTAGGGTTAGGTTTAGGGTTTAGGGTTTAGGGTTTAGGGTTTAGGGTTTAGGGTTTAGGGTTTAGGGTTTAGGGTTTAGGGTTTAGGGTTTAGGGTTTAGGGTTTAGGGTTTAGGGTTTAGGGTTTAGGGTTTAGGGTTTAGGGTTTAGGGTTCCCAAGAAGGGGGTCTCAAGAGCGTGGCATGTAGCGGGAGCCAGACATGAGCCTTTTCCTGGCTGTTCGAACAGCTTCAACAGACACCCCGTCTCAAACACGATTAGGGTTAGGGTTTAGGGTTCAGGGTTTAGGGTTTAGGGTTTAGGGTTTAGGGTTTCGGGTATTCAAATGGGGGCGGGACACCCAAGAATGGGGTTTTGGGCTGAGGTTATTTGAGTGATGCGGACGGAGCAGGTGGGCTGGAGCGGGTGGGGCTGGAGGGTTCTTCCAATCCCCACCCAAAACCCTAAACCTAAAGCCCAGACGCCCATGTAAATCCCAAATGCGTACCTTTTGACGGCTGGCTCCCAGGCACCGGGCGCCCCAAAGCCCCAAAATCTCCCGTCTAAAAAAAACCGGCTGTTGGGCGGCCGAGGCAATCCCAAGCCTGGATGCAAAACCCCTAAACCCCTAAACCCTGAACCCCTTCTTACAACCCTAAACCCCTAAGCCCCTAAGCCCCTTAGTCCACTAAACCCCCAAAGCCCCTCAGAGCTCCGGGCTTTTTGAGTCTCCTGGTCCAGCCCGCCCTCCTGCGCTGCCCGAGGCTTCAGAGGGTGCATGGCTTCAGGGGTTGGGAGTTAGGAGCTTCGTTTTTTCTTTTTTTAACGGTTTAAGGTTTAGGTGTTCTTAGGGTTCAGGGTTTTGGGTTTCGGGGTTTAGGGCCTTTGGGGGCTTTGGGGACTTGGTTTAGGGGAGGGAGGGGGGGGGGGGCTTTGGGCTTGCTGTCCCCCCCAAAAAAGCATGTACACATATTTTGCCGGTACTTGAAGCACAAAGAAAGGCCCCAAGTACCTACGCCAACCTTGCCGAATGCCTGCCACGGATGCTGAAGCCCACATGGCGATCACCCTAGCCATAACCCTGAACCCTGAACCCTGAACCCTAAACACTAAATTTAAACCCTAAACCCTAAACCGCCTCCAAAACCCTCAAGCCTTGTTGCTACATCCCAGGCCCTAAGCCCTAAATCCTGAACCTTGACTCCAAGCCCTGTTTTCTAAACCCAGTAACCCCTACACCCCTAGGCCTCAAGAATCTGATGCCCTCCAAAGCTCTTATAAACTATCTTTGCTGCAGCCTTGGGGACGAAATGAGCCCTGAAAGGGTTTATGGCTCATATACCTTAATAGGCAATATAGTCCTACCTTTGGAGTAGACCCTGGAAAAAAAAAGTATATACTTTTTTAGGTATAAGTAGCTACAATAGGAACCCAGAACCAAAAAAAGTATTAAAGTACAGTACTCCAAAACCCAGTAGTAGAATAGGGTATATGACCCCCCAATTTTGGGTTTTCTTTCGTCCTCAAGGTTGGGGTGTAGGGTGGAGGAAGCCCGGGGTTGAGGGCTCTTGTTGCGCGCCTTGCTTTCGGAGCTCACTAAAACTCGCTTTGTGAACCTAAACCCTGAACCCTAAACCCTAAACCCTAAACCCTCAACCCTAAAACCTAAACCCGAAACCCTAAACCCTCAACCCTAAACCCTAAATCCTAAACCCTAAACCACTTTTGGGTAAATTTGGGTATGTCAGGCATGGTCCAAGGGCCTAAGGGCTCTCCGAACATCCCACGAAAGACTCTTCGGCCAGGGCTAGCAGCTGCACGCAGCTGCGCTGCGCGCGTCTAATGCAAGAGCCTAAAGAATTGGGGCCTATTAGGGTTTATAGGGCTTAAGGAATAAGATCCCCCAGCCCTTAGCCCTTGATATATATATTTCGAGAAATTCGTTATCAAGCTGACCTGCCAAAGCTCCCTTAAAGACTTCCGTCTGTCACATGGGCCCTCTGCGCTGCCCGAAAGTCGAGAACATGGAAGATGAGGCTAAGCATCGCTTAGCCACAAGTCGGGCCGACTCTTCCGCCACACTCCGCAGTGGGGTTTAGGGTTTAGGGTTTAGGGTTTAGGGTTTAGGGTTTAGGGTTTAGGGTTGAGGTCTTTTTAAATCAGGGGCTTCGGAGTTCGTTGATAAAGCAAACACATGCGATGCGAAAGCCGGCAAGGAGGAACCTAACTAAAACACAACGATCCTATTGGTATTTTAGGCTCACCTTAAGAACCCAAAACCTACTTCTTTGTAGGTTCTAACTAAAAACCCCCTTAAGGATTCTTAGATAACCTACACAAAAACTGGTTTTGGGGTCTCAAGGCAGGGATTAGGACCCAGCTTCGGGACCAGCCATGAACCCTGACCGCTCTAACATACCTGAGAACCTGCACAAGAATGCTATTCTGATATCTTCTTCGGCTCGAACTGAGTAAATATAAGTAATGCCTATAAGGGGGCTATCGATACGGAACGCTGAGGGTTGACCTTCTGCCTTTTTTGTTCGCTCACGGCTCTGTTTCCAGGAGATGGCGCGGCAAGACCTTGCCAGTTCCCCTGCGAATGATCGGGCAAAAAGCAGTGGACGACGCGAGTTGCAGCGATGTGATCGTTGATCACATAGGCAAAATGACATCGCCCTTCTTCTTCCCAATCTTGATGCCCATCATGCCGGACACGACGGTCGCGGCCAAAATTCCGAAAATCATGAGCAGGGACACCGACTGCGATAAGGGCCAGTAATCTCCCAGCATCATCTTCGTTCCCACAAACCTGGGCTGCCAGGCAAACTTACACTGAAAGCCTACGAACCCTGTCCTTTTTGCAACTGGGCTGTGGGACTAGCCAGTCTTACGAACCCTGTCCTAAACCCTACACCCCTAACCCTAACCCCTAAACCTTAAACCCTAAACCTCTAAACCCTAAACCCTAAATCCTGTTCAATCAGGCGGCGCCAGCACGGCCGCGAGGCCCGTCTTCAGGTTCTGGACTTTGTCCAGAGCCTCTCCGGAGGCTTCAAGTCAGGTTGACCCTAACCCTAAACCCTAAACCCTAAACCCTAAACTCTAAACCCTAAACCCCTTATTCTAACAGTCCTTAATAAGGATTCCAGTAATCCCGAGCATCATCCCTAGTAAGGACTGCTAGTGTAAGGGGGAACATCCCGACTTAGGGCTTAGGGCGAATGTGTAGGGTTTAGGGTTTAGGGTTTAGGGTTTAGGGTTTAGGGTTTAGGGTTCAGCTCTGCACATTCACCAGCCCCCAAGCCGGAGCACAACTAGCTTCGAGCCCGAGCCCGGCTTTGCAAGTGCTACAGGGAGGTAGTTGCCTTCCCCTTGTGGGGGTTTACAAAATTATACTCCCCATAGAACCTTAATAAACATAATAGTTTTAAATATCCTCTTGGGTTTTTATATAAACAAAATATTAAAAAAAATCCAGGGGGGATGTAGAAAGGGAACTGAACCCCAAAGTAAACGAGTGAAACAGGGGGTTAAGTGCAGGGAAGACTTCGGAAGTAGTTCTGGCGGAAACGTCAGCAGCCCAAGAAGGGCCCCAATACATATTATAGCCCTACACTTCATAACGTCTACTTACTAAGCCTCCGATCCTGGGAGCCTAGCATTTGGGGCTGTTTTAGGGTTTATTTAGGGTTTAGGGTTTAGGGTTTAGGGTTTAGGGTCCCATCAGGCGTTGAGAGCTCCTTGCCTCAGCTAGGAGCAGGTAGAGCGAGCGCAGTCCAAGAACCGCAAACATGTTGGAGCTGAAAACGAGGAACAGGTCGTGGGTGATGCCCAGAATGCAGGGGATGGAGTCTACCTGATTGCAGATTTCTGATTGAAAGCACGGTGCGAAGAAGCCAACAAGCCAGCACAGGGAGTTGACTGATTTCACAACAAGACACATTGAAGAGCCTGTCTCCCTTGCATCTAGGATCTACCTCTGATCGCCTAGACCCTAAACCCTAATCCCTAAACCCCAAACCCTAAACCCTAAACCGGAATGCTAAGAATGAGGTGAATGAGACCGTGGCTTCTTCCGATACTTCTTGCTTATTTGCGCTACTTGCCAAGGCCAATTGCTGCGTGGCAGGCAGTACCTTGTTCATATGTGTATGTATTTATATATATATATACATATACATACATATACATACATATACATACATATATATATATATATACATATATGCCTAAGGGCCCGAGGTGCCGCAAAGATGAGGTCGCTCAGCTCGACAACCACCAGGGCCGCCAGCATCGGCGTGGCGTAGGTCTTGCCATCCATGTGCTCGAAAAACTGATGCCCCTCGATTCGGGGATGTCACATGCGGGGCTGCTTTGGGGCCTTCATGCAGCGCCCAAAGGACTGCCCGAAATATGTCCCGGAGCCCGTAGCGATAACTCAGGCGAGAAGTTCGTTCCTACGCACATTCAGTGACAGTCTGCCTTACGTAGAACACGTCCATACGCCTTCACTGGCCTTAGAAAACCCTGAGCCCTATAAACCCTAAACCCTAAACCCTACCAAACCCTAAACCCCAAACCACGACCTTGGCATCGGCGTGGTACGGGATCAAGGAGGTCAGGATCTGCATCATCCAAGAAGATCCACTTGCGTGGCTGTCCATTCCAGCGTCCGCCTCATCCTCCTCACTATACCTTTTGAGGGCTATAGGGTTTAGGGTTTGGTGTTTGGGGTTTAGGGTTTAGAGTGGTTTTGGGATGTTCCCCCTTAGACTAACAGTCCTTTATCGGGATTCTCATACGGGGTGCTAGAATCCCTATTCAGGACTGTTGGTATAAAGGGGGAACATCCCAACCTATGGCACCCGTGCTGATGGTTCCCTCAAATAAGCTGCTGGGCATCTAGACGAGGATTTCGATTCAAGTTCGCTGCTGCACCCCACTCTTACCTTGGGGACGAAATGAGCCCTAAAAGGGTTTATGGTTCATACACCTTAATCGGGAAAATAGTAGAATAGGGTATATGACCCCCAATTTTAGGGTTCATTTCGTCTCCAAGGTATGGGGGCTCGCGGCCTCGAGCCCCCCTGCAGGGCGGGCCGGGGACTGGAAATCCTGATGCCAAGTGCGTCCGAAAGACCAAACCCCCCAACCCTTGCCAAAACTTAGGGTTTAGGGTTTAGGGTTTAGGGTTTAGGGTTTAGGGTTTAGGGTTTAGGGTTTAGGGCCCCTAAGCCAGGGACGTAGCAGGTAAGCGTACAGTCCGGCGAGGATAGTAACACCCCGCCCGAAAAGGCCCTTTACTTCCAGCGTCTGAGGCGCATTTTCCAGGCGGACCACAAGAGGAGGCCGCCGAAGACGTAAATCATGCTGTGCCTCGGGGTTTTTGGGGGCGCATGAAAAGCGATAGCATCTATACCAGCTAATGTTATAAAGTAAGAGGCTTAATCGTTTCCCCCTAATATTAAACGGGGGGTCCCCCCCCCCCAATAGAAATTCGAGATGTGTTTTTATTATTAGGGGGGGTTTTTATCGAAATGCCATGTTCTAGACTCCAGATTTACTCAAGTAATCAAGTACTGAAGTGTGGTGTAAACTGAAAGAGAGAGACAGAAGAGAGAGAGAGAGAGAGAGAGATCGTATGACTAGTGAGGTAGGCTGAGGAGAGCCAGGCTCACAGGCAGCCAGACAGGCCGCTCACCGACAGCATCATGCGGCGAAAAGCCTTGAGTCTGAAGCCTAAACCCTTAATGAACCCGAAGCCCTAAACCCTAAACCCTTAACCCTAATTAGACCCTAAACCCTCGTTGGCTTCAGGGTCTTAGGAGCCCTGACCCCCCCCCCCCCCCTAATTCGGAATAGGTTTTAAAAGGCGGGTTCGGTTTCGGCAGGATTCTCCGGAAAGTGTTTTTAGTATTGGGGGGGTCTTTAATAAAAGAGGGAAGTGATTAGACTTAGAACCTGAACCTTGACTACTTATATAACTCATAACTCAATGCAAGACCCTTGCAGGCAGGCCCCTCTTTGTAAACCTCAAACGTGATTTTCAGTTGGAAAAGACCCAACGCTTGCACCCCTCAACTTCAAACACCCCCCCCCCCTCCCCCCGCCCCCCCAACAACCTGCCGCACTCAACTACCCGACCTCTCTAGCCTCACAAGGGCGTCATCAGGCAGACACACTCCCTAAACCCTAATGATACCCTAAACTGAGATATTCCCACCTACGGATTGATAGTATGAGGGGGAACCCCTAAGCCCTAAACCCTAAACCCAAAACAACACACTTGCTCCCCTCTCTCTCTTTCTCAAGTAGCTGCGGCCCTGGAGTTTGTATAGCTTGGCTTAGGGTTTAGGGTTTAGGGTTTAGGCTTTAGGCTTTAGGGTTTAGGGCTTAGGGTGTAGGGTTTAGGGTTTTAGGGTTTTAGGTTTAGGGTTTTAGGTTTAGGGTTTTAGGTTTAGGGTTTTAGGTTTAGGGTTTGCAGGGTGCCTATGTCCCTACGAAGAGCTCGGAAAGCAGAATGACAAGACAGGATGTGTTGGGATGTTCCCCCCTTATACTCACAGTCCATAATAGGGTTTATAATGGGGGGGGTACTCTAATCCCATGAAGGGCTGTTAGCATAAGGGGGAGCATCCCAGAGGATGTGCTCCATTTTGCTTGAGGCTTCTGGGGCTTTCGATCACTGAATGAGCCGCAAAGCTTGAAGGGCAAGCCAGACAAAAAAAATCCTAGAAACCCCAAGCCCCCAAACCCCTAAACCCCCCTCCCCCGGCCAAAAAAACAAAAAAAAAAAAAAACATAGAGACCCCAAAGCCCATCAGAAACCCTCAGCACCCCAAAACCGGAAGCTCGGGCGCGTGTTTTGCACGCCGTGGCTTGCTCCCATGCGGTGTGAGAAGAGGTACATGAGCACAGTTCCGAAACCCCGAGAGCCACAGTTCGAGGATGGCCCTTAAAACCCTCCAGAAAATAGTCTTAAATAGTCGTGAATAAACTTGAATAGTCTTAAATGGTCTTAAATTTGTCTTAAATGGTCTTAAATTTGTCTTAAATGGTCTTAAATAGTCTTCCGAAATAGGATCTTCTTTAAGACCCAATAAGGGAACATGCTAAGATATCCCAGGAGCCTATCTGGAGTCTACCAAACACCCATAAGCACAGGGAGGCCCCTAAACCCTAAACCCTAAACCCTAAACCCTAAACCCTAAACCCTAAACCCTAAACCCTAAAACGAAGTCAAAAGCCCCTTCCAGGCTGAGGGATGGGTCGAGAAGTCGTCTAGGCCCTAAAGTACCCAGAAGTTCATGCCCTGGAAGGAAGGAAGTTGAAGCCCTGAACCCTTAAGGTTCAGGGTTTCGGGGTTTAGGGGTTCAGGGTTTCGGGGTTTAGGGGTTTAAGGGTTTAGGATTAAGGCTAAGAAGCTGGGAAAGAGCTCCAACACCCTGAGCTCTTTCGGGCACCCTATGTAGCCTTAGGATTACGAGGAGGTCTTTCAGAAGCCCGGAGACACCTACAAGCCCTGTAAGAAAAGTCTGCCCTTTGAACCCTATTCGTTCCAAATGGAAACCCTATACCATCCTATGCCTCGATGTTTGTGGGCTAGGGTTTAGGGTAAAAGGGTCTAAGCTAGGAGCCCTACATCTTTCAGCGTTGACTGTGGCTCCTGGGGCACTTCTGTCAGCTCGTCAGAAGGTTCGTGCTTTGGGCGTATGCCAAGGCTTCGGTTGCGTTAGATGGCTTTTGCTGTCGGGCTTATGAGGCTTTGACACAGCCCGAAGAAGTTTTTTCTTCAGGCAATTCGAAAGGCCAGTGCAATGATGGTGATGGGCCAGAAGCAAAGGTGCTCCGCAAGGGTAGCAGACGAGATCGCTGTCCCCGCCGTTGTGGACGTGAGAGAAGTATTTGATTCTGACTGATTGTCTGCTGAGGTCGTCTCAGTGGTGGTCGTATTCGCCGTCGTCTCAGTGGTGGACGTGGTGGTGGTTGTCGTGGTGGTGGTCGTCGTTGTGCTTGTTGTTGTGGTGGTGACAACTTCAGCGGTAACGTTTCGACCATCATTGTCCACAATGCCATCGAGGTTCCAATCCACATGCACAGTGGCGAAGTCCAGGCAGAAAGTCTGTGGAATCACCGTCGACCCGCTTGTCAAATCCGCCACACTCTCGGGGGTGCCCACACCTCCCAGAGTTCTTGGAAAATCCTTTAAAATCACATGCTTGTAGTTTGGGATGTTCCCCCCTATACTAACAGTCCTTCATAGGGAATACAGTACCCCCTATAAAAGTCCCTATTTAGACAGTTAGCATGAGGGGGAAAGTCCCAATTTTATAGTCCTTATAATGAACATACACAGCCCAGAAAACAAATTTCGAAGATGGTCGAGACACAGCAGCCCCCTAAACCCTAAACCCTAAACCCTATACCCTAAACCCTAAACCCTAAACCCTAAACCCTAAACCTGGTCTAGACACAGGAGCTGTTGTCATACCTGACACGGAAAACCTTGTCTGCGTTGACGGTCCACACATCGGACTCACCCTCTCCGCTGCTGAGGCATACGTCTGTGGGATGATACCTGGTTTTTATCGGGCTTAACCAAGGGTTTAGGGTTTAGGGTTTAGGGTTTTAGGGCTACGCCACACCCTAAGTTGATCTAATCTGACATGCTCTCCACGTGGAGAGCTCTGTAAATTTGGGTCCCTTTTAGGATCCCTTTATACAGGGTGCCGCCGTTTAATGGGTACCCACAAAGGGACCCGAACTCAGGAAACTGCCCAATCTGAAGTTTCGTGGCGCCCCAAAAGGCGACAGCTTTACCGAAAGCCGTGACCAGCAGCTCCGCTGACCCGTACATGGGCGTGTAAGAGATGTACTGCTTGATGAAGCCGCCAGTCCTTGGATCCAACAGCAACCCACAGTCCCACAGTCTTGACCACAAACAAAGAAAAAAAATGGTCAGTTCTCCACATGATAGTCCCTTTTTAGGCACCCCAAATAAGAGGAGCCGCCTTATAATCAGGACCCCAACAGCGACCTGAATTTAGAGAAGCGGTCATAATTACTTGACTCAGAAAAACCGTCAAGGGACGCATAGTGTGGGATGTTCCCCCTGATATACTAACAGCCCCTCATTGTCATTGGGATTTTACGGAATGTTAGTACAAGGGGCAACATCTCAACCCATAATTTTTGAGAGCAAACCAATGGGAACCATAAAGCTGCATCCTGTACACGGGGTTTGTAGGGGGTTTAGGGGTTTCGGGTTTGGGGAGGGTTTCGGGGGTCAGGCCTTGGGCCCTTGCTCCCTCGAAGCCGCCGACATGAGTGGTTCCGAGGTTCTCTGAGTCTGGTGACTATACTTAGCTTCTAACATTTCGGGTGCTTCTCAGCCCTACTTCTAACTATCCATGAACCGCCAAGGAAGGCCATGAACCATCAACGAGGGTCGATTCGTTGTTGCACACTCCCACGAGCGGGAAGTATTGGCGAGCTTCCTGCCGCAGCTCACAGCACCCGCAACGGAATCGAACTTCTCTTGGCGTCCTAAACCCTAGAGGCCCCCAATCGGGGTCCCTGTGATTACACCCGAGACCTTCCTCCAAATAACGCCCTAGACTCCTAGACCTTCCTCCAAATGAAAGCCCTGAGCATCAAAGCCTTAAACAGTCCGTCGGTCTGCCCTTGGCACGCTCATGGCGCCTTTGGGGCTTTAGGCGCTTGAGGGACTTCGGGCCCTCCACTCAGAGGAGGAGAGATTCCTTGTTGTTGTCGCCGCGGGATTTGCACTCCCCTGACTGCACCGTCTCGGAACTGACGGAGCTGCCAGAGCAGTTGTTGTTCCTCGGTTTCCAGGAGCACCAAACCCTAAACCCTAAACCCTAAACCCTAAACCCTAAACCCTAAACCCTAAACCCTAAACCCTAAACCTTCCATCCTTTGGGGCTCAGGTGAAGTGCTTAGTTGCGGAGTACACTGGGCCAAAAAGGGTTAACCTTTCAATTATGGCAGGGTCATATACACTATACACCCAAAAGGGCTAAAGGTTGCCTTCTCAGCTACTGAGAGGGTTTAGGGTTTAGGGTTTAGGGTTTAGGGTTTAGGGTTTAGGGTTTAGGGTTTAGGGTTTAGGGTTTAGGGAGCGCGAGTCTGCAGGTGGAGGAAGTGTAGGGTTTAGGGTTTAGGTTTAGGGTTTAGGGGTTTTTTGTACTTCTGGGCCTTATAGGGTTCAAGGCTTCAGGAGTCAAGGCTTCAGTCTTGGTGCGTTCCAGACCAACTCTTTTCAAAAGGTCTGAGTCACCCGAACCCGATTTTTGAACCCTGAGCCTGAAGTCGACACCCAGCACACGAACCCTACTTGAAGGTTCATGGTACTTACTAACCAATTATAACTGTACTTATAACCCTACTTATAATACCCCTAAAGGGCCTTATAGGGGTTATCCCAATTATAAGTAGGGTTATAAGCCCAGTTATAATTGGTTAGTAAGTACCATGAACCTTCAAGCAGCACACGAGCCCTAAAGCATCACCTGCCGCTCAGGGGCATGAAATAGTTGCTCACCTGGCGATTCTCGAGCCCTACACTTTTGTTAATATTTGGGGGCTGTTGCCTGCTATAACAGCGAACGTGACAGTTTTTGGGGGGCTTCTTCTGGAATCCGTTGCAGTAGGGGGTGCGGAACATCCTTTCAGTTAGAGTTTAAGGGTTGATTGAGGGTTTTTAAGGCTTTAGGGCAGAAGGTTGTTGTTTATGTTGCCACCGGCCTAGCTGACACCCAGAACGCACCGTAGAGCGCTCGCTGGTAGGTGCACTCAAGATCGGTGGAAAAAACAGCTCCGCACACAAAGGGGGGACAGGTCCTGCATTTGCAGCCTACATGGCAGTGTTCAGATTCAGCTTTTACACAAGGCTGGAACCCCAAACCCTACACCCCAAACCCCAAACCCTAAGCCCCAAACCCTAAACCCTAAACCCGAAATTATAAACCCCAAACCCTAAACCCCAGATGGCGCAGTTCCCAAACAAAGTCTCGTTTAACGCTGCACAGGGCCGGCAATTCAGGAACATCTGGAAATCAAGTGCGTGCTATTCTAAACCCTGACCCTAAACCCTGCACCCTGCACCCTAAACCCTGTTTCGGGGGATTTTCTTAAAAAACTGCACATGTCAAACCTTTAGTTTGAAGCAGTGGGGTCCACCCAAATCAACTAAAAGCCAGCAGAGTCCAACAAACACAGATCCAAGCACCCGACCCTAAACCCAAAACCCCAAAACCTGACCCTCATCCTTACACCCAAAAAACCCAAGACCCCCAAATCCTAAACCCCAAACCCTGAACCCCAAACCCTAAACGCGTTAAACCCTAAACCCTAAACCCTCAACCCTCAACCCTCAACCCTAAACCCTAAACCCCAAACTAAACCCCTTTGAAAGGCCGTCACCTGCTCCGTGGCGGTGGTCACGTACTCCACCGACATGGACCCAAGATCTTGGCAGAGCTCCGGCTGCAGCTTGGGAGCCTCTTTTTGGCGAGGGTTTAGGGTTTATAGGTTTAGGGTTTAGGGTTTGGGGTTTAGGGTTTAGGGTCTAGGGGGGGGGGGGGGGGGTGTTGGGCTTCTTGTTCGGTTTAGGATTTGGGGGTAGTTTAGGGCTTAGGGCTTCGGGTGTGGCAGGCTGAAGGTTTGGTAGGGTTTAAGGTTTAGGGCTCACTCAGGATCTCCCTTCGTCTTCTATAAGGTCAAGGCTTCGCTGTCAGGCTTTTTGCTTGCAATCAAAGCTGTATGGATACAAAGCAGGTTCCCCCCCCCCCCCCCCCCCCTCTTTCCAATTGCACATCAGCAAGCTAAATGCTGGGACCTAAGCCCCCAAACCCTTAACCTTCTGCTTCCGGGCCAGGAACCCTTAAACCCCGACCCCTACGAATTCCAACCCTGCCCTGCGGCCTTGGCGAGGCAGGAGGCATTTAGGGAGTCGCAGGTTGCGGATTCTCCGCAAGTGGAGGAGTCACCACCGAAGTCCTTGGGTCCGCGCGGCCGTGGCTTAGTAGGACTTGCAACCGTGGGTTCAGGGTTTTGGGGCTAGAGGGTCAAGTACGGGGTTCAGGGTTAACCCCTAAAGCAGGACCAACCCCTCATTACAGCATGCAGACAGAGAAGAAATCGGTCCTTAGCGCCCTGACATCGTGAAGTTGAAAGCTGTTTCGAATTATTGACCTCAAACCATAACCCTTAGACCTCGCAAAGCTGGGGTCATTGAACTCCGATGCATCCCAACCCCTCATTAAGCCCCAATAGTGCTCACAGGGGGTCTCCCTCCTCTTTTGTTTTCGCGACAAACAATTTCGGATGTGGTCGGTCCTACGATTTGAAAGGTTCCCTGCGCGTTCCAGCGCGACCATGATTTGGAGCATTGAAAAATTGCGCTAGGGCCCTGAGATTTGGGGTTCAAAGCCGAATCGACCCCTACATCCTACGAAGCCAGAGGCCCCAAAAACCCAACTAGGTTTAAGGTTTTGGGGTTTATATAGGGTGTAGGCTAACCCTAAACCCATCAACTGCGACCCTGGCACGATCCTGGCAGACAGGTTGATGTTACCTGCTCCGTCCGTCGTGCCCACCGAGGCCGACGCAACCGCCGAGGCCCCAAGGAAGTTGGCCATCAACAAGCAGAGCAGCATGCTGCCTAAACTCTATATCCCAAACCCGAAACCCTACACCCCACACCCCTACCCGCAGTCTCTCTCGAGCCGTGTGCGGGAGGGTGCTGGGAGTTTGGGCTTTTGTTCATTATATGCCACTCGCCGACACCTCACATGTCGCTCTGCAGCGACTAAGCGAGGGCAGCCTCGAAGAGCGAACGGTTCAGGGTTTAGGGTTTAGGGTTTAGGGATGTTTAGGGGCATGCAGACGATGCATCCTGTTATTCCCTGTTGAATCCCGCGTGGGGGATCGGGGGTTGGGAACTTCGGGCCATTAAGACGGCCCTGGACTCGCTGGACCGCAAGCTCTAAAGCCTTCACCCTGAAGCGCTTCTCCACACGTCCCTTTGCACCTTCAGCTCCTAAACCCTAAACCCTAAACCCTAAACCCTAAACCCTAAATCCTGAAACCCTCAACACTACACCCGGCCACCCTAAACCCGAAACCCTAAACGAACCTCTCCACCTGCAGCAACGGCACATGTGCTCCAGCAGCCAGACGCCCGCGAAAACGAAGATCAAGCGGAAGACGATGGCCCCGAAGATGCCCCACTTCAGCACTGGCCCCTGAACCCTTTTCTGTTTGCTGGGTTCAGGGTTCAGGGTTTAGGGTTTAGGGTTTAGGGTTCAGGGTTCTGGGTTCAGGGTTTTGGGTTTAGGGTTTTGGGTTTAGGGTTTAGTGTTCAGGGGCCTAAGTCCTAAACCCTAAACCCGAAACCACGACTGGAGCTCTGGGGAGGAGGGCCTCTTGAGGCCAAACAGATTGCTTGGAAAAGGTCAGGGCCGAAGTTTAGGGCTGCTTTTAATGCTTGGGGGGTGGGGGGGGGGAAGGGCTTGTCTGCTGTCATGCAGGAAGTTCAGTGCCAGTTTGACTTGAGATGTTCTTCAATATCTACGAAGAGGGTCCCAGGTAGGGTTTCTTCACCGGAGGCTCTAAGCAGTCACCCTAAACCCTAAACCCTAAACCCTAAACCCTAAACCCTAAACCCTAAACCCTAAACCCTAAACCCTAAACCCTAAACCTAAACCCTGAACCCTAAAGAGGCCCTAAGCAGTCTGCAAGCCTGGTTCTGCGGCTTTATCCGGAAGCTTTGAAAGATCAGTGCGATGACGACGAGGTTGTCCACGCTTAAGCTCTCCTGCGGCTTAGGGTTTAGGGTTTAGGGTTTAGGGTTTAGGGTTTAGGGTTTAGGGTTTAGGGTTTAGGGTTTAGGGTTTAGGGTTTAGGGTTTAGGGTTTAGTGCCGCGCCATCTCTGAAGAGTGGCAAATCGAAACCCGATAGGGTTTAGGGTTACGGGTTTAGGGTAATTACACCTCCTTCCGGACTCCGGCTTCCTACGAGATGAATCGGACATACATCATGGGTACGTCGACCCAAAATGGGACAAAATCAGGAACTCCCCATACATTCCACCTGGACAGATGTGAACCCTGAACTTTGCATGCACCCTAGCCCTACACCCCAGCCCTCTCCTCTCTCTCTCTCTCTCTCTCTCTCTCTCTCTCTCTCTCTCGCTCTCTCTCTCACGTACTCACACCCCAGCCCTCTCTCCCTAAATCCTAAACCCTAAGCCCCAAACCCTAAACCCCAAACCCTAAACCCCAAACCCCAAACCCCAAACCCTAAACCCTAAATCCCAAGCCCTAAACCCTAAACCCTAAACCCCATAGAGCCCTGCTTGAGTCCCAGTTCGTTAAGAGCGCGGCAGCTCCTCTACCAGGTAACCCGTGAGGAAAAGGAATCCGGCCTCACCGCCTCAAGACAGAAGCCATGGCAGCTCAACCCTAAACCCTAAACCCTGAACCCTGAACCCTAAACCCTAAACCCTAAACCCTAAACCCTAAACCCTACTTAGGGTTTGGGGTATGTAGGGTTTAAGGTAATTTTAGGGTTTAGGGTATTTTGGGTTTGGGGCATTTCGAGTTTAATTAGGGTATTTAGGGTTTAGGGTGTTTGGGGGTACATAGGGTTTAGGGTAGAGGCTTGGGGGTATATTTTTTGAGGGCGTAGGGTTTGCTCGGCGCTGTCTCTGCATCTGAGCTTGAGGGTGCAGGGTTCAGGGTTTCAGCCTCGGGTTGAGGTTTAGGGTATAGGGTTTCGGGTAGAGGATTTAGGGATTCGGCTTCAGGGTGTGGGGTTTAGGGTTGTGCGAGTACTGGGGTGCGAAGACAAAGATTCATGGACAAGGTCTGAAAGCTGTGCGGAGGGCATGCGATGTTCGCACTACAGGATTGACAAGACAACAAATTCCCGCTGCGAGTTGCTATGGACAATGCAGTACTATTACAGGGGTGTGATCTATCTGAGTATGTACTATATAGACCATGCACTGGCTTAAACTCCCCCGCCCCCCCCCCCCCTCCCCCAACCCCACCCACCCACGCCGCCTTTTGTTGCACAGATGATGAGCCCGAAGAAAAGGGCGAGGCCAATCCAGCCAGAGCTGATGTAGATAGCCCCTCCTCGGCTGTCGGCCGTGTGGAGTCACTGAAACTGCTGGCTTCTGAGGCCCCTGAGCCCTAATAACCCTCAACTGGGTCCTGGTAAGCAAGGAAGCGAACTATGGGCGGCATATGGAGAAAACCACATAAACTTATGCTAAGTAAACTCATGCCTCAAAACCCGAAACCCCCTACCGTAAACCCAAAAACCCTTTTTGTTAAACCCGCACTCTGCAGACAATCAGCTGGGGGCTATGCGCACACGAGTTTCAATGTGCAGCAGGGAAACCCATGAAGCATGAACCTTGCCATTCCTTGCCTGAGGTTTATCTTCTTGCCGACCGAAGCCGAACTCAAGCCAAACCCTCCTTAAACCCCCCAAAAAAAGGCCAACATGGAGGGAGCTTAGTGAAAATTGGCGCCTACTTGAGATCCCAGCCACGCACGGTCTGCCCACAGGAGACGAAGTGGGCGCCGCAGAGCTGGTCCACCACCTGAGATATGGCAGGCTTCGCGGTTTCTTGGTATGTACAGAACTGTTCTAGGCAGGATTCAGGGGTGACGTGCGTACGTACGTCAGAGGCTTCGGGCTCTTTAGGGTTTAGGGTTTTGGGTAGAGGGTTTAGGATGCAGGGTTAAGAGTATAGGGAGGGTTTCGAGAATATGGTCGAGGTGTAATTAGGGCTTAAGGTCCAGCCTCAAGGGGTTTCAAGGGTCGGGTTTGGAATTTAGGGGGTGAGGGGGGCAGGGGGGGGGGGGGGGGGGGTTGGGTGTTGCCGCCCACCTATCTGACTCTAAGATGCGCGGCCGGAATTTAAGGCAGGGGCTTCAAAGGGTTTCGGCTTGAAAGCGATCTTACGGGCTTTGACCTCACGCTGGCGCAGGCGGGTCAGACTCCAGGTTCAGATTTGGTGAGGTTAGGGTCTGAAGGTCTGAAAGGGTTTAGGGGGCAGGGTTCATAGGGTTCATAGGGTTCGGGTTCAGAGGGTTCATAGGTTTATAGGGTTTACAGGGTCTACCGGGTTTAAGGAAATGATTCGGGGTGGCCGCGTCCTATGCTAAATCATAAAACAACAGGCGCCCAATAACGTAAACGTTGAGAAGTGCAGTCTCCTTAATTTGGAGTATCACAAGTTGTACCCCTCGGCGTTTCCCTTCATATACTCCTAATATGGCCCTTGTATTACCTTGGGGATATTCAAAAAAAACGGGTCCCCAAACCTAAGTGTACAACCTTAGTAGGAGTCTTTAAAACCTCCCCAAAACTAAGGGTGCAACCTTAGGGGTCTTTAAAACGGGTCCCCAAAGCTAAGGGTACGACCTCAGGGGTTCAAGGTAAAATCCCACTCGTCAGGGGTCCAAGCTAAAGCCTAAACCCTAAAGCCTAAACCCTAAACCCTAAACCCTAACCTTAAACCCTAAACCCTAACCTTAAACCCTAAACCGACAAGTGCCGTCTGGACTCTAAGCCGGCCAGGACGACGACGCCAAACCTGAGATGATCGGAGGCCGTTGCAACAAAAAATGGTCAAGCTTGGGGTACAGGGCTTAGGGTTTAGGCGGGTTTAGGGTCTAGGGTCTAGGGCTGAGGGTTTAGGGTTTCAGGTTTGGGTTTAAGGCTCAGCTGGGCTTAGGGTTCCAGGAACTCATGAGCTCAGGGTTTAAGGTTTAGGGTTGAGGGCCACTGCCCCGCTGCACAGACAGGCCTGGCAGCACTTGGGCTCCAGCGCAAAGCAGGCTGCAGAGCTGTCACAGACAGGTCTGGCTTCAAAGTCAACCCCATAGTCGCAGTGCGGATGAAGGCACACTATGCAAAGGCCCAGCTGGGATGGGTGTGAGGCTAAGGGTTTAGGGTTTAGGGTTTAGGGTTTAGGGTTTAGGGTTTAAGGTTTAGGGTTTAGGGTGACAATGCCCATCTGCAAGCTTCAAGCCATGCGAGAAACGAATGCAGGGACCGCAGGTGCTTACAATCCGCCGCGAAGTCTTGTTCCTTCAGCACTTACGAAAATAAGGGACCCCGAATATAGACCCCCAAATAGTAGGATTCCATAGTAACAAGGATCCCAATTGAGGTACCCCCTATTTTCGGGAACCCCCCATATAAAAGGCAGCAAAGGAACAGGATCCACATGCCATAGCCAGCAATGCTAACCTTCTCCGCCTCCACCATGGAACTCGTCCCCAGAGTTGCAGTGGCATTGGTCCTTCCGATATGCACAAAGAGTGTACGCAGATGTTATACATATATATATATATGCATATATATACATATATGAGAGAGGGACCTTTATGTACTATGTTGCTACCTGTTTTTCTATATGTATAGAGAACGTATGGAAGAATTAAATGATTTGAATTATTTAAATTAGTTTTGAGGCTCGGGAATTTAAATAATTTAATTCTGTATTTAAATTAGTTAAATTAGTTTCCGGGCCCGCGAATTTAAATAATTTAAATCCCGAATTAAATTATTTAAATTCGCGGGCCTCAAAACTAATTTAAATAATTTAATTCGGGATTTAAATTATTTAAATTAGTTTCCGGGCCCGCGAATTTAAATAATTTAAAGAATCTAAATAGATCCAGATTTTCTCCCAGCACAGACCATTTAACTAATTTAAATAATTTAAATAATTTAAATAATTTAAATCCGGATTTGAATTATTTGAATTAGTTTTGAGGCCCGCGAATTTAAATAATTTAATTCGAGATTTAAATTATTTAAATTCGCGGGCCCGGAAACTAATTTAACTAATTTAAATACCGAATTAAATTATTTAAATTCACGGGCCTCGAAACTAATTTAAATAATTTAAATCAGGATTTAAATTATTTACATTATTTAAATTATTTAAATTATTTTAATTATCTAAATGGTCTGGGTTCGGAGAAATCCTCATTTTATTTGATGTTTTTAAATTATTTAACTTCGCGGGCCCGGAAAAGAATTTAAATAATTTAAATCCCGAATTAAATTATTTAAATTAGTTTCGAGGCCCGCGAATTTAAATAATTTAATTCGGGATTTGAATTATTTAAATTAGTTTCCGGGCCCGCGAATTTAAATAATTTAAAGAATCTAAATAGATCCAGATTTTCTCCCAGCACAGACCATTTAACTAATTTAAATAATTTAAATAATTTAGATAATTTAAATCCGGATTTGAATTATTTGAATTAGTTTTGAGGCCCGCGAATTTAAATAATTTAATTCGAGATTTAAATTATTTAAATTCGCGGGCCCGGAAACGAATTTAACTAATTTAAATACCGAATTAAATTATTTAAATTCGCGGGCCTCCAAACTAATTTAAATAATTCAAATCCCGATTTAAATTATTTAAATTATTTAAATTATTTAAATTATTTAAATTATCTAAATGGTCTGGGTTCGGAGAAATCCTCATTCTATTTGATTTATTTAGATTATTTAAATTCGCGGGCCCGGAAAAGAATTTAAATAATTTAAATCCCGAATTAAATTATTTAAATTAGTTTCGAGGCCCGCGAATTTAAATAATTTAATTCGGGATTTAAATTATTTAAATTAGTTTCCGGGCCCGCGAATTTAAATAATTTAAAGAATCTAAATAGATCCAGATTTTCTCCCAGCACAGACCATTTAACTAATTTAAATAATTTAAATAATTTAAATAATTTAAATCCGGATTTGAATTATTTGAATTAGTTTTGAGGCCCGCGAATTTAAATAATTTAATTCGAGATTTAAATTATTTAAATTCGCGGGCCCGGAAACTAATTTAACTAATTTAAATACCGAATTAAATTATTTAAATTCACGGGCCTCGAAACTAATTTAAATAATTTAAATCAGGATTTAAATTATTTAAATTATTTAAATTATTTAAATTATCTAAATGGTCTGGGTTCGGAGAAATCCTCATTCTATTTGAATTATTTAAATTATTTAAATTATTTAAATTCACGGGCTCGGAAAAGAATTTAAATAATTTAAATCGGGATTTGAATTATTTAAATTAGTTTCGAGGCCCGCGAATTTAAATAATTTAACTCGGGATTTAAATTATTTAAATTAGTTTCCGGGCCCGCGAATTTAAATAATTTAAAGAATCTAAATAGATCCAGATTTTCTCCCAGCACAGACCATTTAACTAATTTAAATAATTTAAATAATTTAAATAATTTAAATCGGGATTTGAATTATTTAAATTAGTTTGGAGGCCCGCGAATTTAAATAATTTAATTCGAGATTTAAATTATTTAAATTCGCGGGCCCGGAAACGAATTTAACTAATTTAAATACCGAATTAAATTATTTAAATTCCCGGGCCTTGAAACTAATTTAAATAATTCAAATCAGGATTTAAAATATTTAAATTATTTAAATTAGTTAAATGGTCTGTGCTGGGAGAAAATCTGGATCTATTTAGATTCTTTAAATTATTTAAATTCGCGGGCCCGGAAACTAATTTAAATAATTTAAATCCCGAATTAAATTATTTAAATTAGTTTCGAGGCCCGCGAATTTAAATAATTTAATTCGAGATGTAAATTATTTAAATTCGCGGGCCCGGAAACTAATTTAACTAATTTAAATACAGAATTAAATTATTTAAATTCGCGGGCCTCCAAACTAATTTAAATAATTCAAATCCCGATTTAAATTATTTAAATTATTTAAATTATTTAAATTATTTAAATTATTTAAATTAGTTAAATGGTCTGTGCTGGGAGAAAATCTGGATCTATTTAGATTCTTTAAATTATTTAAATTCGCGGGCCCGGAAACTAATTTAAATAATGTAAATCCCGAATTAAATTATTTAAATTAGTTTTGAGGCCCGCGAATTTAAATAATTTAATTCGAGATTTAAATTATTTAAATTCGCGGGCCCGGAAACTAATTTAACTAATTTAAATACAGAATTAAATGATTTAAATTCGCGGGCCTCCAAACTAATTTAAATAATTCAAATCCCGATTTAAATTATATAAATTATTTAAATTAGTTAAATTAGTTAAATGGTCTGTGCTGGGAGAAAATCTGGATCTATTTAGATTCTTTAAATTATTTAAATTCGCAGGCCCGGAAACTAATTTAAATAATTTAAATCCCGAATTAAATTATTTAAATTAGTTTTGAGGCCCGCGAATTTAAATAATTTAATTCGAGATTTAAATTATTTAAATTCGCGGGCCCGGAAACTAATTTAACTAATTTAAATACAGAATTAAATTATGTAAATTCCCGGGCCTTGAAACTAATTTAAATAATTCAAATCAGGATTTAAAATATTTAAATTATTTAAAATATTTAAATTATCTAAATGGTCTGGGTTCGGAGAAATCCTCATTCGATTTGAATTATTTACATTATTTAAATTATTTAAATTCACGGGCTCGGAAAAGAATTTAAATAATTTAAATCGCGATTTGAATTATTTAAATTAGTTTTGAGGCCCGCGAATTTCAATAGTTTAATTCGAGATTTAAATTATTTAAATTCGCGGGCCCGGAAACTAATTTAACTAATTTAAATACAGAATTAAATTATTTAAATTCACGGGCCTCGAAACTAATTTAAATAATTCAAATCAGGATTTAAATTATTTAAATTATTTAGATTATTTAAATTATTTAAATTATTTAAATTATCTAAATGGTCTGGGTTCCGAGAAATCCTCATTCTATTTGAATTATTTAGATTATTTAAATTATTTAAATTGACGGGCTCGGAAAAGAATTTAAATAATTTAAATCGGGATTTGAATTATTTAAATTAGTTTCGAGGCCCGTGAATTTAAATAATTTAATTCGGGATTTAAATTATTTAAATTAGTTTCGAGGCGCGTGAATTTAAATAATTTAAAGAATTTCAATAGGTCGAGAATTTCTCCGAGCCGAAACCATTTAAATAATTTAAAAATTTCACAAACTCAAATAATGTAAATAATTCAAATATCTTAAATCATTTAAATCTGGATTTGAATTATTTAGACTCTTTAGGGTTAGTAGCTTAAAACCCTATAGGGACCGGAAGGTATAATGATTTGAACTCTACAGCGCGCTTTTTTACGTTAATATTAAAATAAAGTCTGGCGTCAGGTATGGTCGCTTTTGATTCTCACCATCGAATGCGCGGAGCCTACAGTGAATGCAGTGTTAACTCAACTCGGAGTACTGTTTTCGGTCTCCGGGAAAGCGGGGTACTGTTTTCGGTCCCTGAACACGGTGGTACTGCTTTCGGTCCACCGTCTCCCCCTCTCTTGTTTGTGTATTGTTATCTCGCCAACTGCACACTAAACAGCACAGACGACATGGTGGTACTGTTATCGGTCCACCGTGTTTGTGCTTAAACTATTACAACAACATGAAACATATCATATTCTTTTTACATGTGCTGTAACTTCTAGGACATACATATGGCCGCGTGCCAATATTGATTGCTTGTAACAGGGCCGCGGCCCGCACACGCGACATACCCCATTACGGAGGCTATGCATCAACGGCCGGGGTTTTGCGACAGACGTGTTTGTTGTTGTCTGCAGGTTCCAAGTCTTGCTTATCCGGGTGTAAGTGTTCTTAAGTTTCAAAAAGCAAATATATATGTAACACTGAATTTTAAACCCCCCTGAACCCTTAAAGGCCGCGTATGTGGGGTGGTTCTAAGTCTTGCTTATCGGGGGGTAAGTGTTCTTAAGTTTCAAGAACAAATATGTATGTAAGACCGAATTTTAAACCCTCTTAAACCCTTAAAGGCTGCGTATGTGGGGTGGTGCTAAGTCTTGCTTATCGGGGGGGAAGTGTTCGTCAGTTTCAAGAAGCAAATACATATGTAACACCGAATTTTAAACCCCCCTTAAACCCTTAAAGGCTGCGTATGTGGGGTGGTCCCAAGTCTTGCTTATCGGGGGGTAGGTGTTCGTAAGTTTCAAGAAGCAAATATATATATATATATATATATGTAACACTGAATTTTAGACCCTCTTAAACCCTTAAAGGCTGCGTACGTGGGGTGGTTTTAAGTCCTGCTTATCGAGGTGGTAAGTGTTCGTAAGTTTCAACAAGCAAATTGTAAACCCCCTTAAACCCTTAAAGGCTGCGTATGTGGGCTGGTGCTAAGTCTTGCTTATCGGGGGGAGAAGTGTTCCTCAGTTTCAAGAAGCAAATATATATGTAACACAGAAT